CTCTACAATTCTTATAATAATATTGATTAGAGTGTAAGTTCTTGAGTGAAATTAGAAACGCACGCACGCCCGTTCGATCATTTCTTGCGTTCGCAAAAGTTGGTTTAGTTGTAACAAGAACTTGTGTGCTTAGGTGCAACATACACGGTTATGATCGATCAACTTACAAACAAGTCTGCAATTCTTAAAATAATCGAATAATATTCAAAAAAATGTCAACATGTATATATGTATGTTGAAATAGGGATGAAACACATTTACGAACTGTGACCAAAAAGTAAAGTGAATTCGTTTATAAAACCAAAAAAAATCTTTACATATTCGTTTAAATCAATGTCATCGCGTTCATCGAATTCTAACTGTATTCCTTAAATGCACGCTGGCCTGGCGGATGGACTCTACACTCTACGATAATCGACGAAAACTGTTAACCGACTTATTTTGGTCGTGACTTACCTTTTGCACACTGTTCGTTCGACTGATCGCTTATTTCCGGGTCGTCGGCGTAAACTTAGATTCCATCTTCAGCGAAATTCTTGCTTCACAGAGATAATAAAAATCGTAAAAACCTATTTTTGGTTGCTTGCAAAAACATGAGTACCTCTACAATAAGTGAGTACCTTGACATGGAACTCTACATATACGTCAAAGACAACAATACCAGCCCACAAAAAAGAAAGAATAATCTCTTAGCATGCGAGAAATGTTCACCTGGTCATGGTAAAATATATGCATACCCAATTCTCTTTTTACACGAATTTTTTCAAAACGACTTAATAAGAAAAATGCTTCTTTTTTTACACGAATTGTTTTATTTTACACGATTTTCAATATTCTATGAATATTTTTTTTATAAATTTTTTTTTTTCAAAATATTTTGAATTTTTTTTCTCACTCATTGTATCTTCGCGTTATATTTTTCACAATTCAGTTAGTTTTTGTCGATTTTATGTTTATATGAGTGGGATTCCCCGACTTATGCAAAGGATAAGCACGTAATGTATTATTTACACAACTTAGTTTACTTTTTCAAAGTATAATTTACTTTTTATATTATATTTAATGAATTAAAATGCGCTAGCACGAAATGAATTTTTAACTGATTTCTGAGGGGAATTTTTTAATAATTTTTATTGTAATTTTCAGTTGCTTTCTGAGCATGTGGAACCATTTAGTTAATATTTTTTTTACACGATTTCTTTGGAAATGTATCTATCGTGTAAAAAGAGAATTAGAAGAGAAGAGGACTTGCTATGTGACCACTGTACTACACATTATATATATATATATATGTATATATATATATGTATATTATATTACCGTTTAGAGTAAGTTTCTGATACTCTTTGGTCGTGTACGTTCGTCTACTTGTCTATCGTCTATTAAGTTGTTTAGATAAAACCTAATGCCCTAATGGGCATGGTATTTAAGTTCCCAAATCGACTTGACGTGGCAAACGAAAAATATTCGAAAAAAAATTTCTTTAAAAAAAATGCACAATAGCTTTCAACCCATTGACGGATATTGATCTAAAAAATTTTGTACAAATAAATATCAAAACAATTTAAAAGTGTAATGGTCCCGTTCAATCGACTAACTGGCCGAAAAATGCACGAGAATTTCTTTCGGTTGATTAGTTTAATTATTATGTATTGTGCCTTAAAAATGGGTTTGATTTAAATGCAATAAGTCTTTAATTCATGGATTCTATTGCCCATAACTTAAAATACAATTATATTTCTACGATATGCATGCATAGCATAACATAACATTTTCTTAATGCAACCGTATCGAACGAACTTGAAAACTACGGCTACCCAGATTCATCTTTGAAAATAAAACATTGTTTGCTGAAGTAATTAAGCAAAGAAAAGTTTTTATTATAATTTCATTTATTCATTTATTTATTTTTTGAAAAACAGTTTTACAACAACATATACAATACATTAATTAGAAATTTAAAAAAAATAATAAATAAATAAATAAAAAGCAGCCAAAAAATAAATTTTTTTTATTTTTTTGGGCTTTTTAAACATACTTTTAAAATTAAAAATATATACATATATTTTTTGTAGAAAAAGCATTAGGTAGTGTTAATTGTTAGAGTTTTATTTCGATTGAAAAAACCAAAAAAAAAAAAAAAGAAAAAAAAAGAAATGTGAAACAAAGCTTTAATTATAATAAAACTTAATCAAAAAAAAACTATATAAAAGCAAATAATTATAAAAAAAATAATTTAAATATTTTTTTTTTAATTACAATTTTTATTAATTGACCTACAGAATATATAGAAAAAATGGGGAAATGAAATTTATAAGCAATGATAACAATAAATATTTTTCCAAGTTTGTCTCTTCTCGATATATTAAATTCATAATTGTTTTTAAATAATTTAGGAATGACAATAAAAAAGCACAAACGTTTTTAACGAGCAAAAGTAATAGTAGAGAGCTGAAAATAAAAAGAAAACGATGCGGAATAAAATTTGAAGTTTGCACATCAGACTCAGACAGGATCTGTGAGAGAGCCAAATATCGGCCAAGGTATTCGATGGGCTCCTCAAATCTACTTCTTGATAACTGTTTCGATTTTTTTTTACCATAGAGTTTTGCGTTGATAAGAGCACTTATCATTTCAGCTTCAGTGGTCTGTATTCACAATAGAAAAGAGTTTTACTTAATTTGGGGAAAAATTTTTTTCAATTTATGAAGAAGTTGTTTGAACTCAACTCAGTGCCCCTCAAATAACCCGCGTAGATTTTTTATACATTTGATGCGAATGCTTAAATCGCTGATTATAAAAATTTTGATTAATTTCCAAACTTGAAAAATGTTTAATTAAAACACAGCTTTGCTTCAATTTCTTTTAATCAAATCATCTTAGCAATCTTAACTTATTTCCTAGAAAGTTTACGTGTAATCAAAATTTCATTTATTGAATGTAGAAATATTTTTTTTACTTTCAATTTTTTTGCTTTCATTGTAAAAGTGAAAAAAAAAAATACATGATAGAGGACCAATTTTTTAAATAAGATTCCAAACAATAAATACAATTTTCTTTTTCAAATATATTTTACTTTAATTATAATTATACCATCACCCATAAGCAAAAGCCCAAAAAACAAAAAATAGAAAGAAAGAAAAAACAAACCAACTAATTAGAAAAAATTGAATTGAAATATATATAAATATATAAGCACTTACTGCTTAAAATATAAATTCATTGATTTTTTTCTTCATTTTTTCTATACGTAAAAAAAAAAAAAGAAAAAAAGAAAATTAATAATTTTAATATAATTAAAACATATATATATATATAATATATGAGAGTAAATTCTTTAAACATATATATTTATTTTTTTGTTTTTTATTTTACAAATTTGAAAAATAACTGCTTTAATATTAAACAAAAATAATAACAATTTTAAAATAAAAACGCAAAGGAATTAAATAAATATTTAATCAAATTATAATAATTACTTAAGCAAGCTTTTAATGAAATTATTCAAACACTGAAAATATTTTGCAACAAATTATAATTCAGAATTAACAAAAAAATTAACTTAAAAAATTACTTCAAACATTTAGCAAAACAATGATGAAAAAGTCTAAAAATTAATATTTAAAACACGCAAACGCAAAATAAAAGATTAATTAATATATTAACGAAATAACACAATAAAAATAACAATAAGGATTATAAATTATATATGGTATAAATACACAGGCATGTACACTAGTAATAATAATAAAATTATAATTACAATAAACTTATAAATTAAATTAATGGCTATTCATAATATAGTTGAAAAATAAAAGTAAATAAAGGAAATTATATAAAATAGAAAAAATGTATATAATTCTGAAAAAGCTTTACTTGAAATTTACAGGAAATGACAAACGGTAAACTTCTTCGTAAATAAGAAAAACAATAGAGACATAGGATAGCAACAAGAATTGACGGTACTACAGAGTAAGTTAATTTTGTCAAAACGTTTGCAAAGCTTAGAAGAAAGCATCAGAGACCCTACAAAGTGTATATATATTCCGGATCAGCATTAAATTCTAAATTCGATTTAAACATGTCCATCTCTTCGTCTGTCCATCTGTTTGTCTGCGTAACTGTGTAGTATTTGTGTAAATATATTATTAAGTGATGAAGAAGAAGTAGTCAATGGCACTTTACTTATCCATGTACAAATAACAAACAACGAATGAAAAAGACCAAACCGCTGAATCTGCGAACTATATAGAATGCTGTGTCGGTCACAGCCAATCCGAATTCTTTTACTTATTATAACTAATAACTTATTAATACCAATCACCAATTACTTCTAAACCATAAATTATGGCATTTTTACAATTTCCAAATAGTTATAGTATTCGATATGGAATTTGCAATGTTCGATTAATGATTTTCGATTTTCAATTTACATCTTTTCGAGCTTGGTCACACCAGACGTCATATTTTCAATGAAAGTTTCAGAAGTTCATCTTACAATTTCAAATTTTTTGATTAGAACTTATAATCTTATAAATAAAGAATTTTATAAATTTGAATATCTATTATAATTAAAATAGCGAAATACTTATCTTCGATTAAATAAGTTTCCAAATTTTATCATTTTCAAACTTCAATTAAAAATTTTTGTTAATTTCATTTGAGAAATTTTCTGAATAAATAGTTGAAATAGTTTATTTGTTAGTAACAAGTACAATAGCTACCAAGTGCAATAGTTAGAAAAATATGGGCAGTAAATGGTAAATGTAATTTGGATAATTTCATTCACAATAGAATCAGAATCTTCGAAAAGGATATTATTTCTATTTTCAAGTTTAAAGGTGTTTATATCAACAATCAATATATAACAATCCAAATGCACATAAGCTTCTTTTTTTTATTATCTTATATATATGTATGTAATCATTTGGTATTCGTGTATAAAATACTTTTTGAACATCACATTAGTTAGTGTAATTATTAAATTTTTCGCATTTTCGCATATTTCCATGAGATAAAATGTAATAAATAAATAATGGTAATGTAACAAAAATCAATCAAATTCATCTTTTAAAGTAACAGTCGCTTCAACATTTTCAGGCATTTTCTTTCGCCTTTCATTCTCATTTTTATTGTTATTATCTAACGCAGCGAGATTACAAACAGGATTTTCGGTGATATTTTCTTCTTCTAAATGAGCCTCAGTATCAGCCGTAATTTGATTAATATTTTCTGTCTGCTGGTCATTCGGAATTGCCACAATATTATTTAAAGATTTATCTTCGCTTCTAATTTGTTCATTCGGAATTGCCACAATATTATTTAAAGATTTATGTTCGCTTCTAATTTGTGCGTTGTTTTGTGTTGACGACATGGACGTATTTGCATAATTTTCTTCTTCAATTTCATCCACAGTTTCAATAAGTTCCCTTATTTCTTGAACTCCAGATACGGCATCTGTTTGCGCATATACAGTTTTAGATGCTTTAATATCACTCTTTGTATGCCTACTACATATGCTTAATAATATTTTTAAATTTTCACCTGAAATACGATCTTGTTGAATCTGATTTGAGGTTTGATTCGAACCACTTAGCGATTTCGAAACCGATGGGCTTAAAATATATTTAAAGGTTAATTTTAGCAGATAAACAAGTACATACAAGAACATCGGAGCAACCAGAAGATTATATGGAAACGGCATGACTTTTAAAAGAGTTCTCAATGATAAAACAGATTTATCTAATAAACCTTCAATGTATTTCATGAACAAGTCATTTATATAACGCACAAGAACATGATCCGGCCGACAAAAAGATAAATTTAGCTGAGAGGATTTTCTATTTAAATTGACATTATATAAAAATTCACTTTTGTTCAATATAATGGTATAAATTCTTTTACATACTTTAGGTTTTCCACTCTTTCCTCATAAGCATAATCTTGACTTATAAACCAACTTTTTACCCATGTCATCCACGAATTAGCTCCCATACGCTTTTGCTGTCTTTCCATGTATTCTAATGCATTATTTACCTCGATTTCCTAAAAATATTGCAAATAATAAATGAAAGCTAAAGAATCGAAAATAAAATTCTTTACCCGATTACATTCTAGATAAGTGTGTAGAAATCCATATAGGAATATGCCGGCAAATATTAAACAAAAATAACCGACTTTCCAGCGACGACTAACAAACCAACCGCATATCATAATAAGTAAAAATATTAAGAGAAAACGTACCTACATACGTACATGCCACAAAAATTAATTAATTAGCAAAATAAAATCAATTTTCTTTAGAAGATATTTTATCAATTTTTCAAATCAATTTTCAAATCAATTATTAGAAATATACAATTTTGTGATAACAAAGTACATACCTCGAAATTTTTAAGTATTACGCCTAGATCTCGAAATGATTTTATTATCAACTTTCGGAAATATGAGCATTCATTCGTTTCAAACTGTCGGCCACAATATGAAGAGATATAATTCTTTTCAAATAGTTGTGTTATAATTTTATCTAAATCTCGACAATCCTTTGACTTTTCCAACAGCTCCAGTTGTGATTGCCCGATTCGAATGTGCATACCTCGTTCATAGTGTTTTAAAAGTGAATTGTACTGGAAAAGGTTTTTTTTTTTTTTAGTTTAAATATAATACAAATATTTTAAACTTACCGTAAATTGCTGGCGAGCGAACACCAGAGCTATTAATTTCTTGAAATATAACAAGCACGCTATATCGTCCGAATTCGATGTTGACGACTTTGCGTTATTATTGGTGCAGGAGCTATGATCCGACATTCCTTTTTTAGACCAGGCATCATGACCTACCCAATTACCATTATCATTCGATGCTGTCCAATCAGGATCTTCATTGTCCGTCGTATCTGCCAACACCCACCAAACACTTATAAGAATTAAAAGTATCATATAACTTAAGCCACGTTCTCTCATCTCAATTGTTTCTCGCTATTTATGGTAAAATGGTATGCCTTGCAAATGTAAATGTATACTTAAAACTGCGATGCTTAATAACTTTTTTCCTTATTGGTGTTTAGCCTTTATTTACAAACTGGAAAAATTACAATTAAAATAGTCACCGGAATAAATAACAACAACAATAATAATGGAATTTTGCAAAATATATTTCATAATGAAGTAAACAGTTGATCATTTATGATTTATCTGTATGTATGCACATGGACATGTGCATTAGAGTTGCTTGCCGTCTGTTAGTCACAAAATTAAACGTAGTACTTTTTCATAGATGAACAACTGATATGAAATTTAAACAGTACTTTGCAGTACTGGCGATTTTTATTTTTGTGTAATGTGACGTTAAGAGAAGAACGTTCACCTTTACCTGTCAGCTGTTAATTTGTTTGTACATTTCGATACATATTTGATGTGGAAGAACTCATTTCCCCAATTTCGATTGCAAAATGTTTTTAAAACCATATAAATTGAAAAACAATGTTCCATTGAAAGGATCTGAAGTAAAGAAATTACGACAACGTTTACAAGAAGCTTTTCCCGATAAGGATGCCGGGCAATTAATATCGCCAAAGGCAAGTGTCAGCCTACTGAAACTAATAACGCATGGCGATTTTCAATCTTCGGTCTATTGTGTGGACAAGCAACCTATGTTTTTCGAGATTGAAGGCGGACGTTTAGCACCCACCGTTATGGCGCTATGGCAGGTGTGCTATTCATTCATGCTATTCATTAAATGTTAAACGATCTATTTTGATAAATGATTAGATGAACAATTTATTACCTTATTTTACTACACATCCCGAAGTATTGCCTAGGCTTAGCAATGGAGCAGATTTAATGCTGCCTGGCGTAATTCCTATGGGGACAGGGATGAACGTTTATGGGCGCTATAAGCAAGGGCAGTTAGGTATGTGTTTTTTCGCTTTGCAATCTAAAGCTGAAAATACTTAAGAATATTTGAACATTCTTTAGTGGCTGTTAATTTAACTTCTAATAAGGCAGCAATAGGTGTAGGTATACTGCCTCGTTCCAGTGACGATTTGTACATGAGCGGTGGGTATGGCGTAGGTGTAAAAATATTGCATGTCTTTGGTGATAAATTATGGAGTCATGAGCCCACTTTGGCGCAGCAAGTACCCGTAATTCAAAGCGCCAAGCTCACTGAGGATGATTTTCCACCTCTAGGCACTAAAAATCATAATACGGAATTATTGCAGAAATCTGCAATATTGGAGGAAGATGCGGAGGAAGTGAATACTGCAACAGGTCAGCAGGAGGATGACAATCTTAATAACATAGACAACACGATTTCTGTTAATTCAGTAAGCGAAGAAATTTCAAATAACTTCGCTCAGAATCTGGCAATTAATAAAGATGAAAAGGATATTGAAAATGAATTGGCTCCAGAAGCAATATTAAAGGAAGCATTTCTTGCTGCTTTGAAGAATAATCGAAAATCATTGCAGCTTCCACTGCTCACTAGCAACTTCTATCGACTATATATCGTACCGGAAGCGAAGCAAGCATTGGATTTAAAAAAAAGTAAATATAAAAAGCTTTCGAATTTCCTGAATGAAATGATTGATGAGGGTTTCATTGTTATTCGCGAAGAGACTAAAGGTGTCGATAAAATCACATCTATTGACTTTGACCATCCAGAGTTAGTAAATTTCATAACTGATGTTAAAAAATCGAATATATCGGCGGAAGGAACGAACAGCGAAAATCAAAATCCTCTTTTCAAATCCGAATTAACAGAACTGTATGTGATTACTGACGCTACAGCTCCTTTATTTACAAAATTAAATTATAAACGCGGAGAAGCCATTCCCGCTGTTCAAATTAAGAAGGTATTACGCGAATATGTAAACAAGCAACATTTGTCTACGTCGAATGAGTGCACGGCAAATAGATCGTATGTTTTAGATGAGATTTTACAGCGAATATGCGAACGATCAGCGGCTCCTTTAAATTGTATTGTCAGTTCAGTTATATCCAAAATGGAGCACAGCTATCAGATGTGCAGCGTTAAAGATGTCGCCAATAATAAGCCGTTGATTCAAATGTCGTTGGCAACACGTTCAAAAAATAAGAAAGTAACACTTGTTAGTAATATTGAATGCTATGGGATTATAATGAATGAATTCATTAAATTATGCAAGCAAGGAGCGGCCGCTAGTACAACAATTGTCACACTGCCAAATCAGAAACGGGAGATGTTACAAATACAGGGCAATCAAATACGCTTTATTTACAATTTATTGACACAAACTTATCAAATTCCACCAAAGTGTATTTTGGGTTTAGAGCTGGCAAAGGATGGTAAAAAGCATCAAAAAAAGTAAATTGTATTTAAAAATTTTTACATATGGGAATAATCTATTTCTCAAATATCTTTGTCAACAATTATAAATTAACAGTTATTACAATAACAATTTTCATACGCATTTTTCATAAATTTAAGAACAATATCAAAAGTGGATCGTGTTTGTACTTTGCTCGCAGGAAAAATGCTTCTTTCACTTAGCTTTGCCTTGGGCTGCAACCGCTTCCATAGCCTTTTTGACAGTCTCTTCGTCACCAAGGAACTTCATTGAAACGACTGGCTTGAAATTCTCATCCAGTTCGTAAACAAACGGTATGCCAGTGGGTAAATTCAGGGTCATTATAGCTTCCTCGGACATATCTAAATATGGATTGTTTTATTTAATTTTCGATCCAATCAAGATTTAATGAGTAACTTACTGTCCAAATGTTTAACAATGCCACGCAAACTATTGCCATGAGCCACTATTAAGACACGTTTGCCTTCTTTTAAATGTGGAATAATAACATCGTTCCAATACGGCAGTGTACGTTGGATGGTAAGTTTTAATGATTCAAACATGGGGAACTCTTCCTTTTTAGGACCATCGGCGTAACGGGGATCATTTACAATGCAATCGTAGAAGGGATGGTTTGGCTCCATTGGCGGTGGCGGTGTATCATAACTACGACGCCAGATTTTTACCTGCTCCTCACCGTACTTGGCTGCGGTTTCCGCCTTATTTAAACCAGTTAAACCTCCGTAATGGCGTTCATTCAGCCGCCAAGTCTGAAAAATTGGAATATCTTTTTGCTGAATTATATCCAAAATGGGGCATAATGTTTCGTGCGCTCTCAAAAGTACTGAAGTATGAGCAACATCGAATTTTAAGCCAGACTTCTTAATGGCCTCGCCACATGCTATTGATTCCTTTTTACCTTAGAGTTGGATTTTTTTTTTTGCATATCATAAGACAATTGCTTGATATCTTTCATTTAACTTACCAGTTTCACTTAATTTTGAATCGTACCAACCAGTAAATTGATTTTTTAAATTCCATTCGGATTCTCCATGGCGTACCATAACGACTCTATATTGTCCTGTCATCTCGGAACAGTTTTTAGAGAATTTATGTTTTGCTTCCAAATAAATGCATTCACTTCTGATAAGCTCCACTAGAATCTGCGATTTCGAACTGCCAAAAACGACCTTTGCAAACATTACAAGGTTATTACGAAAAGAAAAAAATTGTTTTAAAAAAGATAAGTGTTGCCAGGAAAAACAAGTGAGAAGTATGGAGATGAGCATAAACTGTCTTAATAACATTTTTGATATAGGGTCTTATACATAATCCGAAAAATTTTTTCGGACTACTTTCTATATTATATACTAGCATAAAAATTTCATTTTTATAATGTTGCATTTTATCTACTAATGAAGCAAAAAAAAAAACAAAAAACAATAAAAACTTATTTACAGTATTTTCTAGAAAACCCAATGAACGAACAAAAATGTTCGGAATGTTTTTTTTTCGCTTCTTTGGTAAATATATTCCACGCAGTAATATATATATATATAAGATTGTCTTAAATTTGAACGTCAAGCTTTTGGAATATCTCGTGGACATATCTTCCTCTACAAACAGGAGAGTTGGCAATAATGATACACCCGTCTGCAGCGGAAATAGGTAGAACACATTGAAACTATGTGCCATGTTTTATGCTTTAAAACTAAAATAAATTATTAATCCATCCATTGTTTTAGAATTATAATGATCTAAGAAATTAATGTTTTTTCTTTTCTAAATTTTTCAAACTTGTCTTACAAAAAATTAAACGAGTAGACAGAAAGAAAACTTTTAAAATGCTTTCATTAGTACTAGCAATTCTTCATATGTCCAACAACAATGAAGTTTATTTTCCCAATCTAATATAAACAAACGAGTGTACCAATTAGTTATTAAATATTAAAATCCGAGATTTTTATTCTTTTTTTAGACAAACGTCAGAATTGTCGCATTTTATACCCTTAATTCTCTTACGTTCTTCATTATTGTTTATTATATTTTTTTACCCACTCTGTGTCGGCATGTTGGTATAACAACTTTGTATTTCTTGTCAACCGGCATCAGATTCAATTTAGCTGTGTGACTGTTTGTACGTGAGAGTGAATTTTTTTTTTGTTCGGATATGCTCATAGTGGTTAATAAAAAAATTTAACCATTTTTTTTTTTGAGTATTGAAAACTTTTTACTAGGCCTACTAGATTGGTTCGTTTTTTTTAGTGAAAATTTTGCAATCTGGAAATATGGATGAAACTATTAATGGAGGGGAGGGTCGAGGTAAGTGGAACATCGGTTTAATGACTGAATAAAAAATGCATGTATAATCACACACATGTGACAAAAATCCTTTGTGAATGCAAATACAGTTTGTAACGGGACGACGCCATATTTATTATATCTTCAATTCTAGTAACGCGTTCGCTCAGGAAACGTTTAACCTCTATAGACAGTGAAACTTCCAGCCGGCCTGGAACACCAGTTCAATCTGTCAAATTAAATACCATCAGTGAAAGAAGTAAGCGTAGCCTTCGTCTTGTTGCAATTTTTTTTTTCCAAAGATTTTTTGATAAAGCTTAAGTTTTGTTATTTAATTAGCGACTGCTTCTCCACCAAGAACAACGCGTAGTACACGTCAAGCAACGACGCCGCTAAAGACACCTGCCAAGCGTTTGTCAACTCTTATTACCGATATAGTGGGCAGTGCAGAGAATACGTCGATCAAACGTCTTACACGTCGTAGAGTTTCAGGGATAGATGATGAGCATAATCGGCAAACTCTTGCCAAAGTAGATATTGATCCATTAGCTGAAGAAGTACGTAGTTCATCTGTTGAAATCCAAGCGGTAGAGCAATCGGAGTCGAAAGCGATGAAACGGAAAATACGTCGACCAGGGCCAAGGTCGAAAACTCGCGATAACTTGGATAGCGTTGACTCGGATGTAGAAATTATTGATGAAGAATCGACGTTCAATACAAAGGATATAAAAATAGAAACATGTATCGATTTGTCGGGCGATAACGAAGAAAACATTTCGGAATTGGATATTAAAAATCCACGGAATTCTAAGCTAGGAAAACTAGAATTTCACACCATAATCGATATTTCAGAAGATCAAGAAGAATACGTTACGATTGAAAATTCTCCGAATGCAAAACCATTAACTAAGGATATGGAATTGAAAGCGTCATCATCGGAAGTAGAAAACCAAGCCGAGAATTCTAAGCCTGATGAAAGTAAGCCGGAGCATTTGGAATCGCATCTGTCGGATTGTAAAGAACCTCTTAAAAATGTTTCGATGAACGGGCAGTCAGAATATAATATTAAAATCGAGTGTAAAGAGATTGTTGCTAATGATGAAAAAAGTGAAGAAGTCCGAAGATCCCCCATAAGTAATGAAACCGTGGAAACCGATAATAATAATGAAGTTAATGACAGCTCAGCCGAAATTTTACAAAATCCGATAGGTAATATAGAAAATCTTGAAAGCGCTAGTGCTGTTGAAAATGAGAAGGACGTCCAGAACGCTCCAAATGATAAACTGTCACAACAACCATTAGCTACGTTAGCATTAAAAGAGACTCCGAGCTCAGAAACTGCAGACGTGCAATTAGAAGCTCGCCCAGTCGAAGCTAGGGTTATAGAGGTAATCGAAATTTGCAAGTCATCCGATCTAAGTAAAAATATAACTGATTCATCTGAAAAGTTAGAAGACAAAATTGTAGAAGAGAAAGCGGTAGTTTTCGCTAATGCTGTTGACGATGAAACACCTAAGCAGGTATTCCCAAAGACACCAGCTGTCACCAAAACAAGAAGTTATATAGAGGCGAATTGTTCAAGCGAGGATAATTCATTCCACAGTACAAAAGATTCAGATGTAAAAAGCTTCGAACAGCATATCATTAAAGAAGAAGAAATATGTGGAAGAGAAGAAAAAGCAATTGAAGCAGATAAAAGCATTGATGATGATGTTAGCAAAGGTGAGACGGAGATTAAAAGAAACTACGAAGAGCAATCACCGCTAATTGTAAAACGTAAAATAGACGATACAATTCAAATGCAGAGTTCTACTCCAATTACGTTAAATAATAGTTCAATGAAAATAGCAAAAGAATTACCTAAAAGATCTTTGAACCTGAATACATCGACGTACGATAAGGATGATAGTGGAAACAAAAGTATGATACAGAATTTGACGGAGAAAAACTTAACATCAACCGAATTATTATCATGTCCTTCGCCGAAGTTATCGTTTAATGAGCATTCAAATTTAGAATTAAGTATCAATGAGAAGAAAAACGAAAATTTGTTGAATGAAAATACAAAAAACAAGTGCCATCAGAATGATCGTGAAACGACTAAAAGCGAAGCGCAGAATTCATTACCTAAATGGACTCAACCTCAAGCTATCGGTGATGTCACGACAAGCGAAAAATTGGATGTCATTGATATTCCCATCGTAGATAATTCAAAAGATAAGAACGTTTTGGATAAAATAGAAATACCGACAAGATGCGAATCACGAGAAAGTATGAGCTTGCATTTTCCATCTGAGGAAGAAGCCGAAGAGGAAAATCAAATGGAACGCAATGAGCTGATAGACGATGAAGCAATGGAAATAGATGGCTACAAAAGTGGCGATTCTATGACATACGAAGAACGCCGAGAATTGTTAGAAAATGAAATACCCATTGCTGGTGAATCGTTAGGTAGTCATACAACTACAGATGGTGAAGAAAATGAGGATGATAATGATGAAGATACTGATGATAAAGATAATTCATTTATTGTACCCGACGATGAAGAGGATGACGAAGAAGAAAATATACCGCTTGAATACTCGGATGATAGTGAAGAAAATATTTCCGAATTAAAAACGAATAAAAAACAGTATAAACGTTTACAATGCCTCGTAGACTCATCATCCTCAAGTGAAAATGAAAAGAAGAAAATATCTTATGATCGCAAGGATAATTTAGAAAATGAAAGTGACTCGTTACTTTCGTATGGAGAAGAAAGCACTAAAAAAAATGCAAAGGAATCGAATACCAATAGCAAACTTAGCGACAATGCAAAGCGTTTGAATGATTCTGTTGATCGAAACTCTGACATGAACGTAGATGGGAAAGAGGAAACCAGTTTATCACGTAAACAGATCTTAAATGATATAGGTCCAATGGAACGTTTTAATAAATCTTTACGCAAACTGCAAGTATCTGATTCCACTGATGAAAATGATGAAGAAAACCAAAAGTTTGCAACAAAGAAGAAACGCTCATCTTTCCCAGTTACACTAGCGCCACACAAAAAGCGTGTAACGCTTAGTTCAACAAACAAGCTATCAAAATCACTTATCGAATATAGTGGTAGCAGTGCCAGCGACAGCACTGCTGATCCAATTGAACAAGATACAACTAAAAACAAAACTAGGAAAGTAAATCTTTTGGGTGATGTTTCCATCACAACGGATGACAACAAATCGTGTAGTAGTAGGGATGAGCGAGAGGATTTAGATGAAAGTGTTGTTAATGAAGAGGTGCAGAAAATGCAAAAATCAAATGAAAAACTCTGCGATGTCTCTTTGGAAAAAAATGAGGATTGTTTGCATTCATCCAATTCAATGAATGTTGATGTAAATGATATAGAAAATTCGAAAAATGCCGATCGAATTAACAAAGATCTTCAGGAATTCGATAAACTAAAACAAATGCCCCTCGGAAATCCTCTCGTACGCACACGACGACAATCTCTATATTTACCAACTAATCCTAATATGGAAATAAATTCTTCAACGACTGGTGGCGGCAAGAAAAAGCGCAAAACTTTATCGGCTTTTGATATCGATGAATTTAATCCTTCGCAATCATTTATAGAGAGCTTGGAATTGCGTAAACAACAAGAGAACGCCAAATTATCGGGTAAACCTAAACGTCTGTCAAAGAGCTTTTCTGGCGCTGGCGATTCATTTAAAAACAGCACGGTTGATATGGACGTACGCCATTTCTATAAGGGTTCGAATTTAGTTTTAGATGAAAGCCAATCTAAAGAAGAAGTTTGCTTTGAAATCGCAGAAGAAGAGAAATCTCCAAATGGTGCCCAAAAACCAAGGACTGTTGATGAGAGCACTGATAGCGAAAAATCGCTTGAAACAACTACGGTACAAACAAAACTTAAACATCAGGTGAGGAACTTATAGTTTATTTCAGATATATGTATACATATATACATATACATTGGACAGCTACCTTGGTTATATTTTGAGAAGACCGTCCAATTTTTAATTCGGATCGTTTGTCAATTTATTTTAACTTTTTGATTTTTATATACATCGAACCTGGAGAAGCTATGCTTTCAATTTTTGGTTCAGCGCTTGTATTTTGCTCTGTAGATTTCTAAAGGGAGAGGGATTTTTCTTTGCATAATAATACGAACGAAAAGGTATAATAAAGAAATGTTTGCTTCCTTTCATTTTTGGTATTATGCAATGTATATCATCATACATATCATATAAAACTATGAAGGACAAAAAATATGGGCAAAACGAAAATGCAGGAAATTCTACCGGTTCGGTAAAACATCTTTCGGATACAAGCCTATCCAAAAGTGAAAAAAACGAGCGCAAAGGTAAAAGCATTAAATGTGTTTACTTTTTTTTTTTTGAAATTTAAGTCAAGTTAATCATTTTGTGTAGAAGACATTAAACACGCGGTTCTAAAAGCTTTGGGAGCTTCTGCTAATATTATATTGGGTAAGAATAAGCCCAAATCTCTAGAGAAATCAGAAATATTGACTGCCAAACGCTTGCCTATCAGCGTCCTTGAAGCCTTAGCTCAAGTAGGAGATGAGAGTAATAAAAAAAAATGTAAGTCAAATATTTTACGTAAAAAAAAAAATGCCGTAACCTCAACAGAATTTATATTTGCTGTTAACTTTCTTTAAAGCTACTAAAAACGAGGTACGTACGAGTGCCGGAGTATTTACAGAAGGGCCGGTAACACCAATAAAAAAGAAAAGAAAACTACTTGAGACGACTACAGACCGACCGGAATGTCAGGTTACCAAAAAGAAATGTAAGTGAAATATTTTTCATATAAACCTAAGGGGTTCAATAGAAATTTCATTCTTCCTTCTTCAAAGCAGTTAAAAAAGATGAGAATCCGAAACATTCCTTATCAAAGATATATACGAGCGCAGGCATATTTACAGAAGAGCCGGTACCACAGTCAAAAGAAAAAAAACCTAAAACTATTATAACTTCCGCTGGGCCTGTGATTGTGGAATCAGTCACACCAACGAAATCTGCGACTTATATTAAGGGAATTCATTTTCGTGAAAGCCTGATAAATCCTTGGTCTATGGGATATAAGGTTCGTCGAATATTGGGTGATGGGCAAGATGTACCACTTATTGCTGATCAGGCAAAAAAACGTAAAATGCGACGCAAAATTGAAGAACCGATAAAAATGTTACCTAAACCGCAATGGACAAGTTCTGGCTTTTTCATTGAGGAAGAGCTTCCTTTAGCGCGGCCAGTTACTTCGATAGGCGCAACGAAATTTATGATCGCGTCGTTAAAACGTCCAGAAAAGTTGAAGAAACCAATTTCTCAAAATTTTAAGGAATGTGCTTTAATGCGTAGCGATATTAAAAGGACCTCGGCCCGTGAAATAATGCAACGGAAAGAGCGCATTGAAATGCAAAAAAAATATTAAATATTTTTTACAAATGAAATTTAAAACGTTCCATCAACAATTTCAAATTTTTCATATATCATTGTATTTCCTTCACAAACATAAGGACGCGTCGTTTATCATTGTATTTTTCCCTA